CTGGGCCTTCATCTGCACAATTCAGTGTGAGTTACCCATATTATCCAGCGCGCATGTGAAACTGGAGATGGAGGTTGGAAGATAATGGAGATCAAACAGCCACCAATTTGAAGACAACACCCAGCCTGCCCTTTCACCTGCACCAGATGTAACTTTTCCAAAATCTCTGCCTGCAGTTGATCTCTGGACAACAGGCAGCTGCCCAAACCCAAGTCCTGTCAGCACCTCTGAGTGCCAGCCGGGTGCTGTGTCTGATGGCTCCTGCGTCTGTTTTCAGATGCAAGCCTGCTTCACTTCACCTGGCAGCACTCTTTCAAAGCCCATTTAGAAATGAATGTCTAGAGAGATTTTTACTTCATAGCCATAATGCTTATGTGTCAAATTTAATAGCTTCTCAAATATTTCACAACCCACTTTGGTTTGTAAGTCCTGTGCTTGGACCATAGCAGTTCAAATAGAAAACCATTTTATGTATAGTTTCCTCTGTTGCTGGATAATTTAAAATCATAACCAGCCACTTAGGTTCAAATTGAAAAATAACATTTTCTTTCTGATCCACTTGAACAAAAGATTACAGTATAATCCTGCTCTGTCCTACCAAGCTGGGAGTTGTCTTTGGATTACAGTTAAAGGTCACGTGTGAAACACTCCTTGGAGATGGCATCATCTGTACTGTATGAGATTCCTTCAAGTCCTCGGGACTACAGTCCAGCTACAAATCCCACCACAGGGGGAATGCCAAGAAAGAGGAACAATGTGCAATTTAAAATAGGCAGCAGAAAACACATTGTGCTTACATCATCTCATCCCTTCTGTGTGTACATTATGGACCAGCAGGATGGGTGTAAATAGCTCTGAAATGTGAAAGTCAATTTGCAAGTATTATATTAATTCCAATAGGAAAATACGTTTCAAGTACTGTGTAGTGCAAACAATAAAACAAGATGTTATTACAGCTGGAGCAGATACTGACCTCTGCTTGTACTTTCCAGCATTTTCATTACAGGACCCCTGTTCCTTTTTCATTTCTCTGTTTGTTTATTTGTTTGCTTGTTCGAAGGAATTTTTTTTTTTTTTTCATTTAGACCCTCACCATTTTCAGCAGGTCCTGTGAAGCCTGGGAGATCCGCCAGAATTGTCATGTGCCTTTTTCTCATTTTTCTTTAATCCTACAAAATTTTGTTCAGCTCTTTAAAATATTTTATAGTCTATTTGTTTTCTGTCCCTCATCTACATTCTTCAGGACAATGCTGACAGCCTGCCAAACCATCTTGGCACAAACATCTGTTGGGTTGGGATTTTTGGCCACTTGTCAGTGTTTTTAAGGCTTGAGTCTCTGGTCCTCTGCTTGTCTGAGCATTTTTCCTTTTCTCTTAATTGAAGAGGTATGAAAACACTCACAAATCTATCATCCATCTCCCAAGTCAAGAAGCCACCTCATTAAGTCAAATAATTTTGGCTACATTCTAGCTATGAAAGGCTTGTGCACCAGAAATTTTTGTTGCCAGCCTAACAGAAGGAATCTCTTCCTGCTGAGCTGCCTCTTCACATAGCTGGAAGCCACACTGACTTCTTTGAGAGGATAAGAGCACAGACGTAGGCAGCAAGATAAGGTGAGGCTCACAGCAGCATGCACCCAGCAGCATCCTGAGCTGGGATCCAGCCACTTGGGAGATGCAGTGATCACAGAGAGCGTTGTTTTGAAAGTATGAGCAGTGCAATCATTTCTAGCTTTCACGGAGTCCCTAGGGATATTTCCCTAGGGATATTTCCCATGATAGCCACTTAGGATTTTCTTCAGACATATTTGATGAGATAATATTCACCTATTCTATTAAAAATGTTTCTCTGAGCAACCATGAAAATGAAATTCTCTCGCAGCGTCCTTTTCCACTTCTCTCTTGAGGACTGAGTTTCTTGGTTATGTGTTGTAATGTAAGATTCATAATGCTGCCCTGAGCAAAGTTTGGAATTGTAGATTTTGAAAAAGATTTTTTTAAGTACAGTGATAGTGGGGAGCATTTGTTTAGGGGATCTTACTGTTGTTTTTGCTTGATTTGTAATGTTTCTGCCAGCATGGGAATGTGGGGGAAAAGTGGAGAGTCACATATACTACAGGGAAATTTTCTGTTTAGACATATGTACCTGCATTGTCATAAAGCCCCTTTTTTTTTTTTTTTTTTTTTTTTTTTGTGTGTGTGTGTGTGTGTGTGTGTGTGTGTTTGGTGTGCTCCACCTTAGATAATTTCAGCTCATTTTTCTCTCATCCCTTTCCCACCCCATCCCGATAACTGCAGATGCCTGGTCTACGTGTTCTCAGGAGATTTCTGTCAGTAACTCATCTGACACAGACCCAGATCCAATTGAGTAAGAGTGTCATGGAGTCACAGACAAGAGGAAACTCAACGTTAGGAGACTTTCTTCTCATCTTGCAGCAGTCTAAAGAGGCATTTTTAAGAGAAGAAAAACAGAACGCATTTATGCCTGTCCTTGGGGTCCACAACTGACTCAAGTAGTTAAAACTCAATTTCCTGCAGCTCTGTTTGAAAAATGAAATCTTTTCTTCTAATTATTTGGGTGTTTAGTTATTCATTGCTCTACTTTCCATGGGCCTTTTAAAACAGAAATGAAGTTTTCAGAACTGAGAGGAGGCTGCTCGTTAGGGGAGCAAATCCAATACTGCAACAAACCACGAGTATTGATTCGATCCTGAATTGATGTTTCCTTCTAAAAACTGTAAATCCCCCTTTTGGTTGTTTTGTTCTTCTTTTGTTTTTCTCTCAATAGGAATCAAATTGGGAATGTGAAAACCACAGCCCAGAAGCAAAACATCCCACCTCTGAAAGCGATCTGTTTCCTCCCCGATACAGAAATGCGATTGAGAGCTGTTCCGAGGACGGCTGTCCCCGCTGAGGTCGGTCTTTGTGCCGCGCAGTGGGGCCGGGCAGCAGCGGGTGGAGGTCCCATTGCCCGACTCGAGCGCATCGCCCCGCTGAGCAAACCCAAGGAATCTGCGCTCCCTCCCGCCTGTTCCCCATCCCGCTCCCGGCCCTGCCAAGGCCCACGGGTAAGGGGTAACAAGGCAGCCCGGCGGGCTCCGGGTGGGCTCTCGGAGGCAGCCCCGGCCCGTAGCCATACTCGAGAATGTGGGGAGGCACGCTAAGCGGCGGCCACGTTTTTCTAGCCCGGATGGTTTCCGGGGAGGTGTGAAATAAAAGGTGCGAAACGTGGCTTCGCGGGAGGCTACGGGGCTTGGCGGAGGAAGCAGAGAGAAGAGCGAGCCCCGATGCCGCCCCCTGGTTCCCGGAGGCCCCGGCGAGCCTCAGTCCCCCGTCCCCCGTCACGGCTCCGCAGAACAGTAGATCGCCGCCGGCACTTGGAGAGCACCCGGAACGCACGTGGGTAGAAGTCATCAAAGAGGATATAAGATCAAAGATCACTTTAATTGCGAAAATGAGGTCAAATGAGATTTTCAGAAAGTCAGTGTATCTCTGAGGCGGTTAAGAGCACTACTGCCATTTAACATAAGCGGCTAAAGTTCGGAAACGAGTGGACACTTACATTCACGTGACGCGCAGATGTAACATTCCCTTTCACCTACAGTTAACATGGATTACACCAAACTAAACAGGAATATATCTATATATATATTTGGTCAAGCATTCAGTTCAGGCGGACCTTCGCAGCGGTGCGCGCAGGGCTCGGAGCCGCCCGGTCCGGCCCGAGAGCTTCCGACCGTGCCCATGGGAAGGCCGGGACACAGCGGCGGGGCACGGCGGGGCGGGCCGGGGGCTGTCCTGCCACCACCCCGGGCGGGGCGGGGACGGGGAGCACCCCGAGGAGAAGCAGCGGGGGTTACCGGTAGAGGGGCACCCTCTGCGGGGAGGTTGCGGAGCGGGGAGAAGCCGGGTCGGGGCTCACCTGCGCGGCTGCCCTTGCCCTTGGCGTTGCGGTGTCACTGACTTCTTTTGGCTGCGGCTCTAATTCTGAGAGATCTTACTCTAGCCGGGACTGGCCCTGGGGAGAGGAGAGCCGCCCCTTTCCAGGGAGATTTCGCGTTCGCCACCTGCGGCCGTCGCCGGGATGCTCCCAGCCCCTCCCCTGCTGTCAGGAGCACATGGTAATATTTTGGTTGATCGGTTTGGTTCTTTCTGTTGTGCTCTGTTTGTTTATCCCCCGTCAACACGTGCAACCGCAGCGTCTCCCGAGAAATTTTCAAGCGGCTCCAAAAGAGACCAAACCCAAAAGAACCTCCACTCCGCGGCTGCTCCATCTCCCCGTGCTGCTCTCGGTGAGCTCGGGGACGGCCGCACGGTGCCCAGTTTTTCAAAGGCATTTTTAAAGTAGTACATATCTCCATGTAATGCGTGGGTAACTGCCCTTCCCTCCCCGCCGTGTAACAAGGGAAGCCCGATGAAGTGAAAGGTCCGAGCAGAGCAGGAGAGCTGCTACACACACGTAAGGCAGAGGGGATGGCTCTGGAAGTACCTGGCGAGGTTAGACACGGCAGCCGCGCTTCCTCCCGGTAAATCCGCTCGGCCGGTCCAAGCCCAAAGCCCCTTCCTCCAGTCAGGGAGCCTCTGTCCGTCCCCGCACTTACAGCGCCGGAGCGGGGGAGGGTTCTGAGCCCCCCGCCGCCTCCTCTGAAATCCAAGAAATATCCCCAACGCGGCGGTTTTCTGCATAGGGTGGTTTATTTTTACCGCTGCTACTCGAGCAGACAGCGTGGTTTACAGCGACCACAAGCAACCAACGACCTGCAAACCCGACGTCTGCCCTGGATGACGGAGGAGGCGGGAGGCGGCAGTGCAGCCCCGGCGAGGAGAGGCGAGGGCGGTCGCCACCCGGCGCTGCGCTGCTCCAGCGGAGCTCGGCGCTGCCCCGCGCTGCGCACCCCGTGGCTCGTCGGACCGACGGGGAGCGAGCGGAGGGGGAAGGCTGGCGGCCCGCTGGAGAGGGGCTGAGCAGGGAGCACGCTGCGACGGGGGGGGGGGCGGGCGGGATGGTGCCGGGGCGGGAGCCCCGTCCCGGAGCGGCGGGCTTCACTGCCGGCAAAATTTGCACTTGATAATTTTCTTAAAAGCACTTTGGAAGTCTTTGTTGAAATAGGCATAGATGATGGGGTTAAGGAGGGAGTTGGAATAGCCCAGCCAGTTGATGACTGCCCCCAGCCACTCGGGCATGTAGCACTTACTGTCACAAAAGGGCAGGACCAACGCCACGATGAAGAACGGCAGCCAGCAGAGGATGAAGGTGCCCATAATGATGCCCAGGGTCTTGACAGTCTTCCTCTCCCGGGACAGAGCCATCCTCCGCTTGGCTTCCGTGTTCTTCTCGTTGCGCCTCTCGAAGGAGGGAGGCGGCGGGGAGCCGCACGCTTCGCTGGGCAGCGGCAAGTGAATCTTGGAGGAGCTGCTGCAGCGCTGAATCTCTATGACCTCCAGGGCCGCCCCATCCTCGCCCTGTCGCACGGCGCCGTTGACACAGGCACTGCTCCGGGGCTCCACAGTCCGACGCCAGCCCTTGCCGGGCTCCCCGTTGCTTTTTTTCTGCAAGGCGGACGGGGAGAGGGTGAGGCAAGTGTCGGCGATTTTCTTCTTCTCCGCTTTCTTGACCGTCTTGCGGATCCTGAAGCGGGCCGCCTTGAAAATGCGGCCGTAGAGCACCAGCATGAGGAGCAGCGGGATGTAGAAGGCGCCGAAGGTGGAGTAGATGGTGTACCCGTGGTCCTTGCTGATGGTGCAGGCGTCGGGGTTTGAGCGGTCCTCGGGCGTTCTCCAGCCCAGCATTGGCGGGATGGATATCAAGAAGCCGATGAGCCAGGTCAGGCTGATGAGCACGGCGGCCCGGCGGGGAGTCCGCTTGTTGACATAGTCGATGGGGTCTGTGATGGCCCAGTACCGGTCCAAGGCGATGGCGCACAGGTGCAGGATGGAAGAGGTGCAGCACAGTACGTCCAGCGAGATGAAGATATCGCAGATGACCTGTCCCAGAGTCCACTTGTTCAGCACCTGGTAGAGGGCTGCCATGGGCAGCACCAGCACGGACACCATGAGGTCGGTGACGGCCAGCGAGCCGATGAGATAGTTGGCCACGGTTTGCAGGGAGCGCTCCAGGGCGATGGCCGCTATCACGCAGGCATTGCCGCTTACGGCGCACAGGATGAGCGTGCCCAGGAGCAGGGAGGTGAGCAGCTGGTAGCCCAGGGTCACCTCGGCGAGGTCGGGGCCGCTTTCTCCCTCGGGGGTGCGTTCTGGGGAGGTAGTGTTGTTGGCCACATCCATGCCGGGGAGGGGGGGGGGGTCGCTTCAAGAGACGGGCATGGGAAGAGGCGACGGTCACTTGTGCGCTCCCCTGGCAGGAGTCATTGCCGCTTTGGCCATGCCGGCCCCCCCCCCACCCCTCCCACCCCTATATAGAGCGGCGGGAGGCGGCCGAGGATCGGAGGACGGCGGCTGGCGGAGCCGCCCCGCGCCCGCCCATCCTCGCCGCCTCTGCCCAGCGCGCAGCCCGGGGGGGGGGGGGGGCCTTCGCTGCCGCTGCTACTCGCTGTGCTGCTGTCCTCGCTCCGCCGCTCTCCCGCACCGCTCCTTCCTTCTTTGCCTCTCCTCTCTCCCCTTGCTTTCTCCCTCCCTCTCTCCTTCCCCTCCCCTTCCGTCCTTTCCCTCCATCCCGCCCTTTCGCGGGAAGGTTCTCCCTGGGTATCATCGGTCCTCGACACTGCGGGCAGTCCGAGCGGGCGGTGTGTCCGCGGCTACCAGCGCCCCCTCCCAGTGGAGGGAATGGCAAAGACACCCACCACGCTCCCCTCAAATCCCATCCCGGCAGCACCACCCCGGGCAGTGGAGACTCGAGGCTTCCCCTCGGGACCAGCACCGGTTGCCGGCACAGAGAGTGCGAGGCGTGGGTCTCCCTGCGGTCAGGTACTGCCTCCCGGGATGGGGGCACAGCGCACCCAGTGTTGCCAGATGCTGAGCCGGGGTGCCTTGGAGGCGCTTATCGCCATCTGCAGGCGGGCGGCGGCGGCCCCGGGGCGCTAAATCCGCGGGCGGCTCTGCTGGACTCTCGCGGCCGCTGGTCCACCGGCACTTTTTGAGGGGCTGCACCCGAGACTCTGTGCGGAACTGCATCCTCGCCCCCTATCCGGCCGTAGCCGGCACCATGTTGTGGAGGTTATCAGGGGAACAGCTGCGAGCTTGTCGCTGAGTCAGCTTGCCGCCGCAGGTTCGGGGTGAGAGAGTACAGGCAGCAGCGCTGCATGGTATCTCTGGGGGGTTTGCTTTAGAATCCAGTGCAGGGCAAGGCTCCTACTCAGTCGCTTACGAGCACGGCAGTAGTGAAAGTCCCATTCGTGATGATTCATGCCGTCGCCCCAAAGTCCTGCTGTGGTTGTCTGTCGTCGGGGGCTCTGGGCCAGCGTGAGGCTCCGCGTGTCCGTCCAAAGAGAAACAACACTGCCCAGCCTCCCTCCCAGGGGCGGCCGAGGCGGAAATTACAGTGCAACACGCTATTGAAATCACTATCCTATAAATTAAAAAACAACAACAAATTGCATTGCAGTTCCTCCTGATAGGAAGGGGAAATGCTGAGACTGAAAGTGAAATGAGAAAAATATCTTTGGGAACGATCTTGAATTTTTTTTTAAAGCATCAGATAGACAGACGCATCGTAAACAGATCTACTATTGACTGGTATATAAACTAAACAATCCTGCACCTGGGAAACATTTGTCATTTAAAGAAAAAGAAAAACGTACAAGAAAACAATAAAACGACTAATGCGATTGACAGACTTTACCTATCCACTACAGGTAAAAGAAAGTCCTTGGATTTGCACGGCAGGCTTTCCAAAGTCCTGTTGCTCAGCATTTTTAACAATGTGAGAACATCTCTCTAGTCTGTAATTGTGCCATGCAAACTCCGAAAACTCAGAAAGCTAAGTAATTTCTTGACAGTAAGATTTTGCCAGATTTGAACTTAATCAGATTTAAGATGAGTACCACAGAGCCTGGCTTGCATGCGCTCAGGTTTCCTTATCTTTTCTGTCAGCACTTAAAAATAAGACTGAGTTCGTAACTTCACAAAATTCGGATGGATTTCGGCCAGTCCTTTTTCTGAGCGGACGAGGCTCCATTTCTCTGCCTCTGAATCTGCAATCTTTAAAAAATCAAGGTACAGAGATACAGGATAAGTATGGGTATGCAGAACCGATCAGCACCTCTGCCTTTCCGTCGCTTTAGCTGACCCTGCCAACATCACTTGTGTCTGATTGAATGAAGACTTAACGCTTTCGAGACATAGATAAGACAATATTCGCTGGTAAACTGAAATATAAGTATGCTTTGGTCCTTCACAACCAAAATCTATTTCGTTCTAAATGTCTCTTCAGATGCACAGCACGCTCGGCTGGATGTTTAAAGACTATCCCTGTGAAATGAAAGTTGAGACTTCTGGCTGTTCAGAGCCAGCCTGATAAAAAGAAGAAAGTGCGTTTCTGGGTGGCAGGAGAAATTGTCCCAGCTTTCTTGCATGGAGGTGGGCAAGTCGTTAGCCTAATTAGATTAGCCTGAATTTGTGTTTCAGAGCCCGGGGGATGCGGGTTTTAGAAATCCACGAAGGGTTCTCGGGGAAAATGTTTTCAGAGATGTTTTGCACAGACACGGCCGAGGGAAGTAAATCTCGGACGCTTTACGCCGATATCTTCTAATGGGGAAAAGTTGATAGTGTCTTTTTCCAATAGAAATCTCTTAAATCGGCCTTTGTTCTCGGATTTATTTTTTGTTCAGAGACTGAAAGCCATTTCACCCTGAATTAAACTGCGAGGCAATTTAGACAACCGTGGAAGATGGGCAGGGAGTAGGAGGCGGGAGATTTACATGAAGGGAAAGCTCACTTTTGTGATGTGATAGCGCCTTTAATCCTACTAAGCATTTAAGCAGCAAAATGCTGTTTAAATTTTCAAACAACTTAATGAGGTGCTAATGTGTTTAGACAACCTGTGTGAAGCACCTAGGGAAATTCTGTAAAGAAAGCCATAACCTCATAAAATCCGTGCCAGCTTGAGAGCAAATGAAACCGTAACACTGCACAGCCTTGAAAAGTCCAATCGAAATATTAGTGTTACTCATTTATGACAGAAAAGAAGAGGTAAATAAAATAGAAAAACGTTAACAATACTGATAGAAGTTGCTTTGCTGAGCAATTTCTATTTACACCTTTCAGAAAAAGAGAGAGCTACCTACTCTAGTCTTCTGATTGTGACTATTATTTACTTTTTAATGAGAAACTAAAACGCTGCAATTTGATCATGCTGTGCTGTTCCTGGGATTGCTTACAATACTTTACTATGAAAAGTATTTTGGCTTTGTCTATTTACCATTCACTAGGATAAGATACAGCTTTTGCGTTGTACCAGCAAATATATTTAAGTAATGATTGTAGAATGAATGGGCTTCACTAGGGAGCTAAGGAAATTAATGTTCCCTGAAAAGGATCCAGTATGTGCAATTTTCCATGGGAGAAATTCCAAACAGGTGGAAGAGAAAGTGTGCCAGGAGACAATCCACCAACTACACTCTTGAATTTCTGATTAGGTTTCTTGGAAATGCAGCCGACAGGAATTAGCACTATTTCTCCTTGTTCAAAACCTTTGAAAAACAGCCACAACTTTAAAATACAGAAAAGCCAATGAGAATTTCATGTCTGGAGTGACAATATAATTGTAGCATGACCTCTCCTCAAAGTCATATGCATTTCACTGTGAGAGATTCACTTGAGAGATAGTTGCTTAATGTTTCCCACCTTTCACAAACCTCAAATTCATCACAATGCTTTCTCAAAATCAAGCTTTACCTGTTGAAGGCCAAAAGCTACAAGAAGGGCGCAGAAGAGTTGAAGGCCATTTCTAGTATTGCAGTCACACAGCTCTCAGCTAAACAGGCCTAGAACAGAATAAGCCTGAATTCTGCAGTCTGTTTATTCCTGGCTTTGTGGGAAAGAAGAACCAGCCAGGAACCCGAGCAATGTTCAGTACCAGTAGCAGAACCATTCCTTCTGTCTTCTTTATAGCTACAGGGGAAAATAAATCCTTTTCGAATCCTACAAGTAGTCTGTGCAGGAACCATAGACTACAAATTCATCACTGCAGCAGAAATAAAGTACTAAACTTCTGTCTTCTGGATTACCTTTGTGCTATGTCTGTATATTTTCCCTATATTTAAAAGGTTCCATCTTTGAATGGTTATTGATTCTCCTCCTCTATTTTCTGGCTATCCAAAAACTTGCCTACCAGTTAGAAGTCTTTTCATTGATAAACTCTTAGAATCTCTACACTGCTCTCCTCCTCAGATTCACACTGTTGTTTCTACAACTTTGGTCTATGTTTTGAACCACAATTGGCAATAGGCAGATGCAAAGCTGAATTAAGTGTCTTGGCTGATTCTAAATTATCTTTATGAAGAAATTCTTAACTCAGAGGGCAGTGAGACACCAGCTCACGCTGGCCAGAGAAGCTGCCCCATCCCTGGAGATGTTCAAGGCCAGGCTAGATGGGGCTGTGGGCATCCTGAGCTGCTGGAAAGTGCCCACGGCAGAAGGATTGGGATTGGATGTTCTATAGAATCCCTTCCAACTAAAAGCATTCTATGATTCTACAGTTCTGCAGTGGCCACCTTAAGAAATGTGGAAGTTCATTGGGTACTTCTCTGTGCAGTCCTATCCAGCAAGCTCAGAGATGGCAAGCTGTGGCCCAGCAGGAGCTGTGCAGCGCACAGATATTCCAGTAGCTCTGCAAGAATCAGCTTGGGTCTAACAGAGGTAACAGCACCAGCACAGCACTCAGTTTAAGCTCTGTATTAGGCCCTGTAAGATGTGGTGTCTCTCATCCTGCCTCATAATGCTCTCAGTTATGCAAACACAGAAGAGTATAATCCAAGTTCAGACCTAGCAAGATCTGCCAGATCTGGTGATAGTCATGCAAAAGCAGTCATGCTGCTTCATGGTTTTAGCAGGCCTTTCAAGCAGTTGTCTGCTCATGCAGTCACTGGTATCTCTGCTATGAACCCAATCCAAGTTCTGTTCCTTTTCATAACTGTTTGTTTATTTGTTTGTTTGTTTTTTGTTTGTTTGTTTGTTCTGTGTGTGGTATGTTGGGCTTTTTGTTGGCTTTTTTTTTTTTCTTTTTCTTTTTCTTTTTTTTTTTTTGAAACAGGTAAATTGTGTCTGCCCAGTAACTCAGAAGGATAACCAGGAACATGCAGGAGTAACCACCTCAGAATGCTGGAGCACTGATGGCTAATAATGACATTTTTCGTCATC